TTCTCCATTTTCACTGAGATCTGCAGGAGGTTCCGTTTCTTTCTGAGCCAAAGTCCCACTGACCAGCCATGATCTTCTCAAAGTCAGTGCTGAGCAATGTTAGCCTCACACGAGCCATTACAGCAAAGCAAAGATTTCCTGGCACAGTGGTTGATCTCTAACCTGATGCGAAAGGTTCATTCATTCAGCATAGCATCCAAAGCCGCAGGTTGTCCATGAGCTGCAGTTCTGGTGGCGCATCCCAGGTGAAGTAGAAGAGTTCCTTAAGACCTTTTTATTTCTTTTCATAGGAATAGGAACGGTGCTATAATCTCTCATGAGCAGCATTTGCAGTTATGTTGCTTCAGGGAAATACCATCCAGCAGAGCTGAAAGCCACTGATGTCCTTTTTGTCCCAGGTACAGAAACAAAGGGCTGCCATGCAGGGAACGTCCTATCATTGAAGCTTCAGGCTGCAATGCTCCTCATCATTCAGACCAACCAAGGTAAGAGCAGGATGCAGTGGCTGACAGCACACAAATCCCCTGCTCTCCCACAGATCTCCTCCTACTCCTGCTATTATGGTAAAGATTTATCTCAGCTGTGAGCCCAACTCAGACTCCTCATTAATCTCCACCTAAAAGCACTGGTAGTGGAGCAGCCTGGTGTGCCATCACCTACCTGAGCACCAGGGGGACTGAACACAAAGAAAAAATAAGTCATCACCATCTCCCTGTGTTCCAACAGCTGCCTTCTAACCACCCCCACTGAACTGAGCTGATGCATATTTGCTCTCAAAGCCATGCAGCTCAGTTGTTTGCTGCCTTTTATATCCCATCACGTAGCTCATCCTTTTCCTGATTCATTTCTATGAATTACAGAACATGTCACGTAGATCCAGAGGAAGATAGAATACAACCAGACCTGAACATGGCCACTAATGTCACACCAAGCAGCTGGCTTGCACAAAGCACTGGCAGGGTGTGTGCTTTGTAGGAAAGAAGGCACAAATGCAGCAGTGCTGTGCTGCTGTTGGGCAGGAGCTGTGACACCCACGAAGGGAGCCATGGCTCGCAGCATCACAGAATGGCCAGGGTTGGAAGGCATCTCAAGGATCTGAATTTCCAACCCGCTGCCACACGCAGGGCCGCCAACCTCCCCATTTCATAGCAGCCCAGGCTGCCCAGGGCCCCATCCAACCTGGCCTTGAACACCTCCAGGGATGGACGGGGCATCACAGCCTCTCTGGCAGCTGTTCCAGCACCTCACCTCTCTCATAGTAAAGAATTTCCCCCTGACATCCAACCTCAATCCTCCTTCCTTCAACTTCAGACCATTTCCCCTTGTCCTGCTGTTATCTCCCCTTTCCATGAGTTGATTCCCCTCCTGTTTGTAGGCTCGGCTCTTCCCAAATTAACAGCTCTCTTCTAACTCCAAATGTTTCTCTGCACAAAGCCCACAGGAAGAGATCCGCTCTCTTCCTTGGGATGTTTGCTTTCTTTTTTCTCCTTTTTTTGCTGTACCTCTGCTGCTGTCACAGAGCTGGGGTTGGCTGTTTGCTTGGGACGTGTGGGCAGGAGCTCAGGGGAGAGGGGGAAAGAGCAGAGCTAATTACAGGGGATGCTCTCAAAAATAGAGCTGCTTTTCCCCTCGTCCGTGAGCTGCTGTGAGAGGTAGGTGTTGTTCTGGTTCTTTCCACAGCTTTGGATCAACAGAAGGGCAGAGTTACTGCTTTACACGGGTTTAAACTAAGCTCACTTACACCGCCGTCACAATAGAAACAACTGAAGTAATCTGACATATTTAGCTTCCTTTCCTTCCTGCTTCCCCGCTGTCTCTTTTCCTTTCACGCTCTTTATAGGGATATCAACCACCAATCCCTTCCCTGCAGATCCTGTGTGGCTGCGCCGTGACCACATCCTGCCATCCTGCCCCCAAACGATTACATCAAAAAGGAAAAGCCATCAGAACCGGCAGTGCTCAGCTGGCTGGGAGCAGCAGGAACGACCTGCCGGCTCCTCGGGGTGCACACAGACCTGCTTGGTGAACAAAAACAAGCACTGGTTTGCCTTTCTGCACTGACAGATCCTATTGTGCCCACATTCCAGGAGTCTGGGGGAGGAAGACTGTAAGAGGAGGGGCTTTGTGGTCTGACTGCTGTGAAGATGGAGATGTTTGTGTCGCGTGAACTGGCTCAGAATGGCGCTTACCAGCACTGCACTGGTACAAATAAGGGCAGCACAGTGAGTGCAAGGTTGGTGCTCATGGGGATCCCTGTGGCTGTTTGCTGTCTTAGTTTTCATTGAACGAGGCCTGAAGGGCTGAGGGCTGGCATGCATGGAGCACAGCCTGGCTGCAGTGCACGGAGGGTGAGGTGATCACACGTAACCACAGGCAGGGCAGCAGTTAACGATGTGTCCTCAGCCTATTCTGAATTCTCATTCTGGGGGTTTAAACTGCAGAAATTAAACTGGGCAGAAGTTCAGCTTGGACAGCTTCCATGCTGGAACAGCCGTATTTTCCTTGTCTTCTGAAGAAATTCAAGAGGAAGAAATGCTTTAGCAACGTCTGTGGTCGAAAGAACTTTTTCTAGTGGCAGACTCTGAGAAAATCCCAGCTTCACCCACATGGGGCTGCAGCAGCAGCAGCAAAAAGTGAACGTGACCGTCCTTGAGAAAGCCCTGTGCAGTTTGTTCTTTGTCGGGGTCACCACCTCTGAAGTTCTTGTTTTCCTTGTGCTTCCGGAGCCTGGATTTGGGGATGAGGCTGAGGAGAGGCTTGGTTCCCCTTCTTAAAGCTGATGGAAGTGCTGGGTTAACACACACAGCAGCCCTGAGAGCTCTGTGACACACGATGGGATGGCAGACAATGGATAGAGAATGTATGGGTAGACCATAATTGGTCACCTGGGATGGATCCATGGCTTGCAAGGACACTGGAAAGCCAGGAACTGCAAAATGAGCAGGGAAAAGGCTGCAGGACTGCTGGTGAAATGGCTCCAGGACTGCTGGCATTCAAGCAGTGGGGCAGAAGCCGTGGAAAGTTCTCTGGGAAACAAACAGAACAGGAAACAATACTGTTGTATCAGTAGGCAGGGAGGCTGCTGCTGCACCCATAAAGCTTCCACGGGGCTATTTGTCATTTTCTGACAGCACAGAAACATGCACCATAAAACATTTCTCAACTTTGGCTCTGTTGAACTACCCATCTACTGTTATTATTGTTTTAAATATATATTTCTCACAGACAGTTACTGAAAGGTGCATTAGATTGCACCCAGAACAAAGGCAACGCAGTGCTGGCTCACAGGAGAAAATGAGTTTGATGGGAAGCATCAGGACTGAACATTGGCAGGCCTGTCTTACTGCAGTTTGATAGGCAGAGCACCTCTGTGATTCTGGGCACAGAACCTGAGGCCTTCAATGAGAGCTCGTAATGCTGCATCTGCTCCAACCATTCACACTCAGTGGCATTCAGTCTTACCTAATTGACATGACTTGTAATTCCATTGGTTTTGTTTCTGGGATAATAGAAGTGAAGCAGTTTGGCTCTCGATTTGTGATTCTGCCTTGCATTGAATTTGTATCTGTAGGGTCTGTCATAGCAAAGCACACAGCAGAGTCACCAGTGTGCTAAAATCACATATGCAGTCGGTGCCTGTGTTAGGTCAATGCAGAAAGCAAATGTGTTCTACGACTGAGACGAGGCAGAGCAAGAATGGCATCACCTAGGATGCTTTCCGAAAGCACCCGCTGCTTTTTGGGAGCATCATCATTTTGAAGTGGGCTTCAAACCACCAACACAGTGTAAAACATCTGCAAGTTTGCAGTCGCTATGAATAAACTGTGGGTGAAACTGTGAGCGGCTGCATGTCTCACCCTCGGTCACCTAGCGATGTTTATGGCTCTCTGTATGACTCACTGCTTAATTAGTGTTTGCATTACCTAAGGATGCTGGAGTCCCAGCCAAGAGAAGACCCTGTCTTGTTAAGGGCTGTACATGCAGGGAGCAGCCTGAGAACACGCAGCATAAACAGAGCAGGCAGAGGAAGGGAAACAAAGCTGTGAGAGGGGCTGGCTGCCCCACAGCAGAGCAGCGGGGGAACTGAGCCCCTCATCATCCCATCTCTGTACAGTTATCTACAGATTAAGCCAGGCTGTATCCTCCTGTGCTTAGAAAAGTAAATCTGGCAACTGGTATGATGCAAAACTGTGCTCAAGTTAAAGTAGTGCTCCCATATGCATGTATTTCCTTAACTGGTATTATTTGTACTGATATTAAATGGTTTTGTTATTTAGGAAAGGCAGAAACAGGAGCCTCGATGTGAGTTAGCAAACATCACAGTCTGTGGTTCTGATCATCTGCTCCTCATGCATCTCAGAGATCACAGCCACCAAGGTGCTTCCTCTCAGTTCATTTCGAGTCCCAAGCCACAACCACTGACATGTTGGCCTCACTCTTAACAGCATCCTTGCCTCTCTGCAAGCTCAGAGCCCAAAGAACATCCCCTCTTTTTTCTTTTCCTCCCACTGAATTGACTCCCTGGAAGGAGCTGGAACCTGCTATCAGAAATTCAAAGATCCAAAATGTTCGAGCTCAGCAACGAACTCCAGCTGCTATTTTTCAGAGATCAAAGATTTCACTGCTCCATGTCCTTGCACAGTACAGGGAGATCTGGACACGGGACTACCTGATTTCTAGGGGTTTTTTTAGGGCAATTCCTTCCTTCTTAGAACTTCAACTCGATGTGCTATCCCAGTTTTCCATGGCAAAGTTGCTGCTGGAAACATCCACGCTCTCCTCCTGGCAGCCTCCATGCAGGACCAGGAGGAGAATCCACGTGAATCCATGACACAGGGCATCAATCTCTGTGACATCCAACCTCGAGGCTGCTACAATCGATTCCACCAGGCACAAAGATGGGTTCCAAATCAGTTCCTTGAAGCATAAAGCAGCAGCTTTGCTGAACTGAAGATGCAGAACAGTCTATCTAACAAGAAAATACAGGGCAGGCACAAACCTGAGCAGAGAACATGCTTTATTGAGAAGTAGATACAAGAACAGCACATTCTACCACATCATGGGAACAGGGATCAGCTTCTGTACAAGAACGGCCTTCTTCCCTACTCCACAGATCTACTTGGTTGGATATTTTCATGAGTAGCTGTATTTAGTTACAATACAGGAGCAAAGGGCACGAGACAGCAAAATTCAGTAATGCCCACAAAGTACACATCATTGACTGATGATCTGGGGTTTTTTTCTTGTTTTTTTTTTTTCTTTTTTTCTTTTTTAAAGAGGCAGAGAAAGGCAGACAACCACCAGAAGGGCAACAGAGAACTTTTCCACACAAGGATGGGTCAGTGGTTAACAGGAAACAGCTCCTACCTACTGGTATGGTATGCTGCAAGTGCTTCACTTCAGTCACCATTCAACAGAAAAGCATTGGAAGGATGAAATCAGCACTGTACGACGCTGCCATCGCCTGCTCCAAGTGTGTCCCCTTCTTTTAATCACACTGGAGCCATATAGCAAACTCGTGGCACAAGGACAGTGGTTACACTTGAAAGCCATTGCATGATAGCTTCATCTGGTTCTGCTGATGGGACAGAAGAAGTAAAAGCTTTCTTGTTTTACAAAGACAAACCAGGATGCACTGTCAGAGAAACAAACCATCCACACAGCTACGTGAAGCTGCCACTGATGCACAGAACATGAACTGTAGGCAATCCAACAACTGGTGATATTCGGATGTCAGGGTTTCTGTGGCTGTTTGGATAAGGCTGGCAAATATTTATCTGTAGCGAAGATTTTCATTTCTTCAATCTTGAGGAAAAAAATCTTCCTCAGTAGAAAGAGGCCTACGATCCAAAACACCTCCAGCGAAATACACTCACGGGCTGCTGCTGTGGGAAGGAACCCACCAACTCCAAGAGGAAAACGAGGCAAGCAGCAATAGCAGTGACAGAAGTGCCTCCAACAGAAGTGGTAGTGCTGTAGCTCCAGGAGCACACAAGAGCAGCTCCATGAAGCTCATCAGACTGTGACACCCTCAGGCAGTCAGCCTGCACTCCCTGGGATAACGCTAACAATCCCACCGCTCGCTCCTAAGATACATCAGCTTCTGACTGCACAACCTTAACTATGTGAAGACCTACTGGATTGTAGGAGAAAACACTGCCCAAAGAGGTGGCGTGTTGCTTTAGTACAATTATTTCATACGTGGAATGGAACAGTCTGTCAGACAGGACTAGTTACAAATGCTGAAGTCAGTGTAAATGGCAGCTCGCTAGGAAAACAGCCTTTCTGCAAACAAGTGTTATTAGACCTTGTTCCAAAGCCACAGAAGTCACCTCCGTTACGTACAAAGCAAGGAACCTGAAGGAAGAAACAACCAGGTAACGGGACACAACACAACCTCATCGGAATGAGAACATGAGGGTGAGACCAGTGACTGGACAGGTACAGTACCAGATATCAGAACTCCTTGGGCCAGCGCTGCTAGGAGCTTCGTGTGGGTCCTACACAGATCCAATCCTTGCAACCTCATTGAGGCCGAAACATCAAGTTCCTCAGAACTAGCTTCTGGTGTGCACAAAAGATCTGGGCCAGAACAGTACCAAGGGGAGCTGATCTTTTGGGAGGGTACTGTACCAGCCAATCACAACAGCAACAGGTACAACAGAGATCCCGAGGGTACTTCCTACTGCTGGGGTTCACTGGCTTCAGGAGTGACAGACAGCTAAGTTCCCTTAGGAGGGGTCCATTTCAAACAGCTGGGATCCATTATCTTATTGCTGTTGGATCTTTTTGCCTCTTTGGCTATCCATTCGTCGATCAGATCCTGGGGAGAAGAGCACGAAAGGGTGGGTTAAAGCAAACAGGCTGCGACGAGAGGATTATCCAAAGTCCAACGCCAAACATCAAAGTCCAGAAATCTGATCAGCCCACTCCATTACTGCTGAGCATGTCAAAAATATAACTCCTATTCCACAGCACTTCCTAGAAGCACTTCCAACCACACTGATAAGGCTACTTGTAGCTACAAAGCTTCAGGAAAGAGCACATCAACGAGAGAAACTGTCCTGTCTTTGGGGGTTTATAACTCATTGTCCATGAGGATATAAACAGGACACATGCAGGGTTCATTTCACTACTGTGCATCCATTTGCTCAATAAAGGTTAGGCACGATGAGGGGCAAGAGAGGAGTGACAATTCCCCAAAAACTGCTTACAATGAACAATGTGCTTCCATACATCAAAAAAATGTCAGTCTGTGCAGCCTATTTCTACACTGGTGAAGAATCATGCTCAATGCCAGTGCTGCACTTCAGTGCATTTCAAAATGATGGTGCTCCCTGCTGGAATCAAAGGGCAGGGAAGCCCCAGCACCAAATAAAGATAACACTGACTTCATTAGTTCATGTGAGTCCAACAGCTAAATGGCAGGAAATCAAGGTGCAGAGAGAGCTATGAGAAACCTTACCTGTCTTTTCAGGACCAGGTGTTTTCCCTTCCAGTACTTCAGCATCTGCAGTGCCTGCAATGTACTAACAATGTCGACAGGGTTTACTGCAGTCTCCTGGCTGATTTCTGCAAACCAGTATCAGTTCAGGTTAGAACAGAAACAAATTCCACTGCAACAGTCTCTGACAGTTAGTTTTCAACTCAAGTCTTAGGCATCACATTGGAGGTGATGAACACAAAATGCCTTGCAGATGGTGGAGGCGTGCAGCACTATTGCTGCTGCCTGACCTGAAGCCTCTGACTGCTCTGGTTACCTGTAGCACTGTTACACAACTCGTCTGTGGTCAATTCACTTGCAAAATATTTGAAAGCTTTCGATCCACGCTTTAAGAACTCATCAAGTTGGATTATTTTTGCTGTTGGATGGACTAAAAAAAGGAGCAACATCCAAACAAAAGAACATTCCACCAACTGTGCTGCTACACAAACACGTGCAGCAGTGCAATGAGCGTGACCTGTCTCATGTTTGAGGTCGCACAGGCACGCTCCTGAACCAGCTCGTTTAGGTTGAAATTATACCTTTTATAGAGATCTCTTTTCCTTGGAAATTATGCAGGTAACGAAGGAGAACTTCCTTCCAGTAGCTCCTGTAGCTGATGAGACCCAAATCAGACAGAGGTCGCTCTGGAGAGCCGACTTTTTCTTCTACTTTAGAAAGCAAATAGCCTGTAAAGAAAAGGAGATTTATTTCTCCTTCCCAAACTGCTCCCTCCTGACTGCTACACTCTCCAGAACGAGAAGAAATCAGCTCTAATAAAAACTGCTGCACATCTAACAGATGTGTTAGGTAGTGGGTGAGATTATTATACCAAACTGAGTGTTTCCAGAATGATTCTCTTTATACTTACTGAAGTCAATGAGCATCTTGCCATAGCCTTGCCTCATGTACTGGGGCATTGTCAGGATACAAGAGACATTGTAATTGAGAAAAGAATTCTTCTCCTAAAAATCAGGAATACACAGAACAAGTTAACAAGTCTAGATCTGCACAAACAATAGGCTGCATCATAACCCTGACAGACAGAACAAGCCTGTGCAACTGATTCAATACAAGGTGAAAGCAGCAATTTCAGGAATTCCTGCCTAGCAACCAGTAATGTGATCATCTGCATCAGCCAGTGGGTGCTTGGTGCACTGTGCAAAGCTCAGGGTGGCAGCACGTGGAGCTGTACCTGAGGAGCAGCCACTTGCACTCTCACTACCACTTCTAACAGGTTTATAAGCAAGAAGAAAGCAACCAACCTTAGAGAAATATCCTATCAGGTGGCAGCCAGTGTTGTCAGCTTCTGTCATGACATAGAAGAGGAAGGGTTCAACATCATAATACAATGTTTTATGGTCCAAGAAAAGTTTTGCCAGCAGACATAGGTTTTGACAGTAGATCTAGAAACAAAAGGAGAGCGTGAACAAAAACAGACATAGGTGGGAAATACAAAGAAAGTTCTGCATCATCTCAGAAATGGCGTGGAGCCTTTCAGATAGAGCAGCTGGGCTGGGGAACAATCCCATTTATGAAGAAATTGGATAAGGTGAAATTTGCAAGGTGGGAATTTCTGTTTGTGATACCAATCTCTGGATGCTCAAAACATCACATCCTCAGTGAAGGGAAACAGAAGGTTGGAGCTCAGCTTGTTTGTGTCAATCCCATGCTTCAAGGTCAGCTGTGGTAAATGGAAAACCCTCCTCCCAACTTCTGGCAGTGCAAAATTTAGCTGTGAATGTGTTTTTCTGTTCTTCCCTCTGAAGCCTCCAGGACTGGATGCACCTACAGACTGCTGCTACCTGGCACTGAACCAGTGGCTGCAGATTCATCTTCTACCCTTCAGTTGAGGGTCACCCCCTGTAATATTAGCCTACTTTCCACTCTAACACAAGTTTGAATGTTTCAGCTGAATGAGAGATGCAGTGGCAATGTATTGAGGCCACACACAGAAGCTCCCCATTCGTTTTAAGAAAGGGATCCTGGCATAAGCCCCCAAAAGCTACTGATCCAACACAGTGCAAGAGAACAGGGGAAACTGCTTGTGCACAACAGCAGCGAGGAATCACCACAACGAAAACACAGACAAAACAAACATCAGGAATGGACAGACCTGACTGCAGCAGCCTTTCCACCACTAGAGAAAGGGCCGTTTGCATCCTGCTTCTCTACAGGAAAAGCAGTGCTAGGCCTATTAATACAATTAATTACCTTGTTCTTTTTCCCATCCACTTCAAAAACTGAAATGGAGCCTTTGCGGTAGATTTCATCACCTGGTGGATGTTTCCAAACACATTTTGCCTATGACAAGTAAACAAAATTAGGGTGACACTACTGTTTTAAAGGCAGAAGAGGTTACAACAGCTGCTGGATACACCAGAAAACACTCAGACCCTTTAAATTCAATTCTAGGTCCCATTTCTGAGCCTCTGTAACCCACTGAACAGACCAGAAATCAAGCCTGCATCTAGGAAAACTTTCTCTCAAAACAACTCAGAATCTCCTCAGCTCTCAAAGTGAACTGACAGCAGTGACAACGTTTACAAACATCCACATGCTCACACCTGATTCGAAGCTCAGGAATCTGAGATCCTCCCCAGCCCTTACCATGTGTCTGCGCAGTATTGTCTGGCTCTTCATGTACTTGAGGCAGAACTCACACATGTAGAGACGCCCCAGACGAGCGTACTCCTCTGGGTAGGGAGAATGGTACCAGGTGTCCAGTTCATAGCGGCCAAAAGCGATGGTTTTGATCATATTGCTGCCTTCTGTGATCTGGCCCTGGAGCCGCAGCTTTTCCTACAGATGAAACACGTGAACAGCTATTAAGAAATGTTTTAAAGGGGTGCTGAGAGGAAGGGGTTGTATTCATTTCCCTCAAGGAGATCCTTCACTTCACTTCACCTCCTTTGGCAGGGGGGTTGCTCTCGATGATCTCCAGAGGTCCCTTCCAACCCCTACAATTCTGTGATTCAATCCTGTGAGCTCTGTGACCCAACGACACCTCCCACAAACCCCTCCTCAAGTCAACTCAGCCTGAGCCCCGTTCACAAGCGACAGCTAGTGATGGAAGGACTCAGAAAACATCTCTGAACGCTTCTTCCCTCACCTGCAAGGAGAGACACAGCCTAACTCTCAGCCTTGAGATGTGCCAGATACCAATGCCACTGGTAAGCATCAAAGAATCTTTGGGTTCATTTCTGGAGATGGGAGAGCACTGGAGATTTGAAGAGCACCTACAGAAGCCTCAGCCACAACAGAAGGATTTCAACCCCGTTCCACAGTCACCAAATACTGTCAAGATGCTTTCTGTCTTTCCTTTCTAATCATTCCTTTGCTGCCGTTTGCACAGCTGGAGCTGCCCATTCCCTCACTGAAAAGATACACCTCTTAAACAAGGCTGTTACTGATTATTCCTCATCCAAGGCATTCATCTCTGCAGACGCTGAGGTCCAGCTATACTTTCAGTAAACCTACTCAATGATTTCAGCATCACACCTACTCTAACTTTGCTGACTCAGTTGGGCTGTGGGCGCTCACCTTACAGCAGATTCTATCTGCACAAGTACAACAAAAGCCCCAAACCATTAAATTTCTGAATAACTATCAGTTAGAAGGCTTACCAGGTCCTCAGATGCCCGTGCTTGTGCTCTTCGGAAAAGCTCAAGGTCATACTCACTGGTCAGGTTCTCAAGAAGAGGTTCCCTAGTATTGCCATAGGTTTGCCTGTGTTCCTAGAGCAAAAACAAACCAAAAAAAGGAGTTTTCACTGCTATTCTAGGCTGTTGAACGTTGTACCTTTTTGTAACTGAAGATGTTGCAGGATGACACCTTAGTGGTTTCATTCCAGACACAAAGGAATAAAAGAAGTGCTGCCTTTACCATGTATTTTTCTTTTTGCTCCTTGCTTAGTCCTGAATTCCTCTTCTTCCTGAGTTCAGCTACTTTCTCTTTGTATCGAAGCTGTCTCTCTGTTGGTGCCTGCAAAAAAAAAAAAACAGAAAGCTTCATGAGTCTTCATGCACTTCCAATATTCACCTGCACCTCATCTCAAGGAGCTCTGTGTTGGCTTCTATTTTATCAGGTTTGTTGTCTCCAAACCAAATCCTGCATGCATGAGATAAATGCAAATATGTAAAATGGAAATCTTTTCTACTTTCTGTAGCCTGCCTTTGTCAACACACCTCAGTCCCACAAGACAGGGTGCATTCCTTATGCACTGCTTAATCACATGGAAAAGCTCACTGCTGACTCATCAGGTCACCCTGACTCTCAATCAAGACTCATTTGAATTGAGGAACATAATTCCCCTGCTGGAATTACGCAGAGTAAAATGGTGGCATGGAAATTCTGCTGTCACACACATGAAAGCACACGGAAAAGACCACTATGAGAACAACTCCAGCCTCCTCTGTCATATCACTGCCCAGAGTCACCTCTCGGCTCTCACTGGCTGCTCCAGGCTCTTATTGAAGGGAGAAAATGAATTTCCCCTGCTGAAACAAACTGGAGACTGCAAAAGGGAGCCTCGGGACTCAGCACAATAGCTTAACTAAGAGGTAAGGAAGGGAGAATCAAGTTAAAGCCGCTGTCATTAGAAACACAACTGAGCTTTTTCCACTCTTAACGGAGCAGCCACTCCACCATGTGCAGACTGCCCACCTGGTGCCTGGTGGCGTGCCTGTTGTTGTCGTCCTGCCGATGGGCCAGCATCCTCTCCTCAATCTGCTTATCCCGGCTCTGCGCTCGCACCTGGAAGTCAGAACTCCTCAGTCAGCACTGCAGCAAAGTGCTGTCAGAGCTTCCACCTCGTCCTCCGTTTCTCTGTTTAGCTGGATTTTCTAACGTGTAACTTACAAATTATTTGACGCACTACAAATGCTGCTGTCTTACAGCTAAGGACATCAGTGGAAGACGTTATTTCCTGTGCACAAGCAAGTCTTGGTATTTTGTTCTATAAAAGCATAAGAAGATGAAACAGAAGACTTCGCTACCTTGCACTCATCTGCTGACAGATTGTGATACAGTGGGCATCCTGATATGGAGAAGTGCCGCTCGTGTTTTCCAGTTAGGTGTCCTGTAAAGGATCAGGAAAAAGAGAAAGCTGTTAACATAGGATCATTAACTGCAGCCCAGATGGTCAGATACTGCATATGAGCTTCTCAGGAGAGGCAACTCCATTTGTTAACACTGCGGTAGAAGGAAAACATTTCATGGCTCGTGGCACAAGCTATAAGAACAAAGAAGGAAAATCCTTTTCACACTAACTCAAAAGCTGCACTCCATGCAAGCAGCCACGTATATTAGATAACTGCATGCATTTGTTGCTGAGAACCTTTTGTCTTCAGTCTGAGATCAATACCCTCACCTCCAAGGCTCTGCATTCTCCTCCCATGCCTGTGCTCACTCACTCACTCTCCCAACTTGCTCTTTATCCCATCGTCCCCTGAAGACCTCTAGACAATAAAGATATACTTGTGGACATGCTCCATAACCCTTCTCTGCACCCACTTCTCAGTAGTGTTTCTGATTCCAAGCAACTGCTTACTGTTACGTTGAACCAGTCAACGGAGGGGGACTTAATATCAAGGCAAAAAAAAGTAAATAAATCAACAAATCAATCCTGGAACTGAAATTACCTAAAGAGTTACAACCAGGAGTGGGACATTTCATGTTGAAATTGTAGCTCTCATGGAAGCGGCGGCGCTTCGGGCGGTGAGACAGGTCACTTCCTGAATCCTTCATGGACATGTCCTTGGCAATGCTCTCATCGTGGGATACGTTTGGACTGGAGATGTCAATATCAGACTCTGAGGAAGGGGCATTCCCAGTGGGGGTACGAGGTGGAGACTCATCGTGATCCGCCGCATTTTTAGTGTCTGAACAAGGATCCAGATGTTACAAATTTGCCAGGAAAAAAAAGAAGCTTTCAATAAAAAATAATACGTAAAGCAGCTCTGGAGAGCTGCCTCAAACCCTGTGACCCGAGGATATCACACCGTGCCCAGGGAACGGAGCCGCATATCCTCTCCAACAGCATTTTGCAAGCTCTCAGCACTTCACCATGCCTACGTACCTCTGTCAGAAAAGTCAACCACTTGCTCTGTTTCTGATCCAGAAGAGCGGGTCTGCCGGAGCGGGTATTTCTTTGGGGTCACAGGGGCAGGCTGCTGCTGGCTGCGGGTCACCCTCCTCGTGGAATAGACTGGTTCTTCTGCTCCAAACGAGGGCGGATTGCGAACCGGGCTGGAATCTAATTTCGTGGAAACGCCATAATTACACCCACAGGAAGCAGTGAATGCCAGTGAACTGCCTCACACGTGCTCTGATAGCACCACGGGGTAACAGCACAGGATTCTGTGCAATCACTGCGCATTATCACAGATATGATATACTCTTCTAAGATTAAATCATCACTTCTACAAACACCAATGGACCTGGAATTTGATGCACTTTCTCTGAGATGATAACTGAATCGATTAGGAATTACAAACAGCTCCCATTCAGAAAGCTTGTAGTGTTTAACTTAGATAACAACCATCAGCATTTAGAAAACTCTTGAGAATATCAAAGCTGCTTCTGGTATGGAGGTACATTTGGGACACCACGTATGGCTTTACAAAGACATGCTGCTCATAAGACAATAAAACAGATTATTCTGCATGAAAACAATGCTTTCACACCCTAATAGCATTATAGGTATCCCACATACCAACCCAAATCGCTCCTCCTTCTGTTTTTGAGGCCTAACCACCAGATGACTGTGCACGTAAGTTTTTTCACCTACAAGAAAATCCATCACAAAACAGTGCATGCACAGATGGAAGGAACAAACTTACCTACTGTCATTTTCTTAATAGCTAACAGCCTAGGAATTGCTATCCGAAAGCTAAAAACGAGGAGGTGGACACATGCTTCCTCTTTTAAACTGGATGCAAAAGTAGAAGCATGCAAAATTTGTTGACATTTTGCATCAGCAAATCCTGAAAACACATCTTTCCTTGCTGTATAGAAAACCCCAAAGAAACAAAGCAAACGACAGCAACTTTTATCCCTAAATGCTCCCTCTCTAGCTTGCCTATATAATTATATTTAACTAACAGGATAAGTTTACAGAGTTCTTACATAAATCAGGCAAAGCAGAATCATGGGTTCATAGAATCATAGAATCACCGAGGTTGGAAAAGACCCAAAGATCACCCAGCCCAACCATCCACCCATCACCAATAGTCTCACTAAACCATGTCCCTCAACACAACGGGTTTGATTTCTATCTCCTCTAATAAAGAAACAGCTTTACTTTTAGAACTGAGGATGCTCAAGTTTTCCTTTCTGCCACCACTGTGATCCTTACGTTACGTAACCTCATATGTTTGCAATCTGCAGTCAGAAAGACTGGATTTTACTAAGATACAATAAAACCCAATGAAAAAAATTATGTATTTGCATTTGGGTGCGAAACTCCACGTGTTTAATCTGTGAAAGTGAATGTGGAGCAAACCGAGCCTCCTGCCAGTGGTGTGTTTAAGGAGATACATCTTTACCTTGGGAGCTCTGGCTGAGCCTGGCTGAGGAGCGGGTCACACGGGCGGATCGCCGTGATGTGGCATCGCTTTCAGAGCTGTCTGTATGCTCTGGATCTGTGGAGAAATCGGAGTCCTCTGTTCCATCCGAGCTGCTGCCAGCGTTCCTCTGCAACAACAGATGCAGACGTTAGCAGGGATGCTAACCACAACCACACGGAAAGCAGGTGGTGATAACGTACAGTTGACACAATCACAGAATGGCCAGGGTTGGAAGAGACCTCAAGGATCATGAAGCTCCAACCTCCTGCCACACGCAGGGCCACCAACCCCCACATTTAATACCAGCCAGGATGCCCAGGACCCCCCATCCAACCTGGCCTTGAACACCTCCAGGGATGGACGGGGCATCCACAGCCTCTGGGCAGCTGTTCCAGCACCTCACTGCTCTCATAGTGAAGAAATCATTCAGACTAATAATTTCACGCCAGACAAAAAGCTTTGTGTGTCATTCATACAGCATCGTCACCCTGAAGGCCCAGCTGGGCACAAGGGGGAGGTGGTGGGGAAACAGACGGGCTCTGCCAGGGGATGCGTTGGTTGTGCATCACTGAGAGCAATACGGGCTGGGAAAACAACGGAAAGGAGCGCAGCAGGCAACGAACGCGGTTGCGTTCACCCGAGGCCGCAAGAGTGGCTACTGTGAGGAGAGCAGCCCCGAGAAAAGAGGCGGGAACGGCACCGAGCCCCTCAGAATGCACACCGCCCTGCGCCGCTTTGTTTTGCGTTCTACAGCGACTCGTCGGCCTCGGCCAATCGTAACGCACGTGGGTGGGGCCGAAAAGGCGATTCCGCCAATAGGAGCTCGAGGAGAGAAGGAGCATGCCGGTAGGGTGTGACTGACAGCGGGCGACAGCCAATCACTGAGAGCTTCGCTCTCACAGAAACATCCACCCCGGGGGCGGAGTGGGATGGGGGGAAGGGAGGAACAAGGCACGCGCGGGGAGGTGACCGTTGGGAGCGGAGATGGGCAGCCATGGAAGCCAATCAGTGGCTAGCCCGGCAAGACAGCCCAGCCAATACGGCGCCGGCTCTTCGACCGTCTGTCCAATGGGAGAAACCGGGAGGGGGGCCGCGCCGCCGGCGGGGGGGGGGAGGAAAAGGGTAACCGTTGGGGGCGACGAGTGACGGGCGGGGCGGCCAATCAATGCTGCGCGGGACTCTGCGACAGCCAATGAGGGAACGAGTGGGGCGGGCGCGGGGGGGCTGAAGGCCGCTATTTTCCCCCTGGTTTTCTACCGGTAAGAGGTAACTGGAAGGGACGGGAAAGCTGGAAGGCTCCGTCCTGAACCTACCGCTCCCTCCCCAGCCACCTCCCCGGCTCCGCTCACCTTCCTGCGCGGCATCCTCGGAGGGGGCGGGGGCAGCGAGGCTGCCTGGTCCCCGGCGCCCCCGGCTCGTGAAGCGGCGGTGGCCGCCGTGTTAGTGCCGGCAGGCTCCGTGGTGACGGCCGTGTCGCCCGCCCTACGGCACGTCTGCTCCGGCGGCGCCAGCGCGCTCCCGCCGCCAGCCCTGCTCCCCGCTCGGTCCCTCACGCTTCCGCCGGGACACGGCCCACACCCCCTTGTCACGTGACCCCGCCCGAGACTCACGCCAGCGGGAGCCGCCATCTTTGTTTGGGCGTTCCAGCGGCGAAGTTGGTGGCGGCCATCTTGGTTTTGGGCAGAAGGGCTCTCGGCGGGAATCGGGGCGCCGGCGGCGGCCATGTTGAATGAGGGCGTGAAGTCAACGAGCACCGCGGACCTCCGCGGGCGCCATCTTGGAGCCGGGCAGAAGCGCGCCGTCGGGGTGATGGAGTGATTGGGTGGAGGAAAGGCGGTGAGTCCCCGTTGATTTTTACGGCGGAGGCGGGGAGCGGCTGCCGGCCCTCCTCGTCAGGGGGTGCCGCCGTCTGCCCTGCGCACGGCCTTGCCTGGGCCGCGGCTGCTCGCTGTGGCGGGCGGGCCTGGGCGGGCCTTGCAGGCCTGAGGCGCTCGGGGCCTCCTCCCTCCTTCCCTCCCCTCTCTTCTGTTCCTTAGACGGGCCTTTCCGTCGGTTAAACTTTCTTTTTTCCTCAGGGGGAGGTTTCTATATATGTGTGTATGTGTGTGTGTCAAGATTTACCCGTGTGTCTCTCTCCCAGCTCGGGTTCCTGCGGCATGGAGGCGGTTTTCCTTCGGCCCGTTTGTTCAGACGTGAGATCTCTTTGCAGCCAAGGTTATCTTTAGGGATTATCGAATTCTCGGGGTTTAATCCTATATCCCGTGTCGCACTTCGTCATGCGAGTCATGATGCTTCTTTCATTGCCAGTTGTTGCTGTGAGGTGTGCTGGATCTGTGGGATGCTGGAAGGCAAACCTGGAGGAAACTGAGGGAGCTGGGCTTGTTCAGCCTGGAGAAAAGAAGGCTGCGGGGCGACCTCATTGCAGCCTTCAGTGCCTAAAGGGAGCCTGCAAGCAGGAGGGGAATCAACTCTTGGAAAGGGGTGATAACGGCAGGACAAGGGGAAATGGTTTGAAGTTGAGGGAGGGAAGATTGAGGTTGGATGTCAGGGGAAGTTCTTTGCTGTGAGAGTGGTGAGCTGCTGGAACAGCTGCCAGAGAGGCTGTGATGCCCTGTCCATCCCTGGAGGTGTTCAAGGCCAGGTTGGATGGGGCCCTGGGCAGCCTGGGCTGCTATGAAATGTGGGGGTTGGTGGCCCTGCATGTCGTTGGAGCTTCAGATCCTTGAGGTCCCTTCCAACCCTGGTTGTTCTGTGATTCTGTGAGGAATTCAGATGGAAAGTCTGCTTTTGTCTAAAAGGAGAGGAATGGGAAGCTGCGTGTGTGGTATGTGAGCTGGGAATGTTTGCATTGGTGGCAAATAGGGATACGTTTTGTGTAAACATTTTGCACACTCATCCCCTGAACAACCCATTCATAGGAATCTGATGAGTTGAGTGTCTCAATTTGCAGTAGAAAGCACTGCAGGAACGCAGTACTTCTTCCAGCTTCATGAGAGGAATGGACTGACAGGAGCTCAAGCGTGTCTCAAATTGCATTTGACCCCCAACATCTCATGAACTCTATATAACAGCTGTCAGATTGTTAGACTGACCTGAAATGCTTAGTTTAAAATATGATCTGCGTGTAACTAAAGCTGTTGCCTGAAAGGGCAGTAGGAATGGGAACAGAGGAAAACAACACACTTCTCCTTAATAGATAGAGAAGGGAAGCGTTGGTCTGAATACATTATAGTTGTTGGCGAGACCTTGCCAGAGTGAATGTGCATCATGTTGCAAACTGATGAAGGGCTTTAATGGAAATGGAGGACAGTCAGGGGCAATGAAAAAGCTTCTAAAAGGCTTCTCAACTGCATCATCTTTTTTCTTTTTTTTTTTCTTTCTATCTTTTTCTTACATTAAGTAGACTCTATGTGTGTTAAAAGAACTGCAATTAGCTTAAAAGGTGGTTTCAGCGTAACATAATTGGACTTTGTAAGTATCCAAATTGAATTACAGGTTTGCTTGGATGAAAAAGAGAGGAGAATGTGATGCCTGTGTAAATTCAAAGGGTTACAAGTTACCACATCCCAGTGAAAGAGTCGCTTGTCAGTGGTTGCTGGAGGATTCCTCTTTTGTAAGCTATGCATCACGTGAGAGCTACATCTTTTAAGTATATTGGATAAAACAAGAAAAGCATTAACTGGAACTTCTAGGTGTCACTGCCGTTCTGAAATAACAAGTTAAGTACTAATGCATGTTAGCAGGACTTCTCACCATCAGCAGGATGTTACTGGAGGAACGAAGCAGACAAGCAGAGGTGGGTGGTGCTTAATAACTTTCCTAGAGGTGGCAGCCGTTGAATAGCAGCCAGGAATCCAGTTCCCCATGAGGTCTGATCGTGTCCTGCTGTTTAAAATGGCCACGCAAACAGTTCTCTGCAGTTTGAAATGATGTAACTCTACACTGCCCAGTGTATAATATACTTACTGTGTTATACAGTAAGGTGGTAATGATGGCCTTACATCTGTGGAACTCTTGCATGCTATAAGAAGAATAGTGGTCAGTTGTTATCGTAGAATGGCTTGGGTTGAAAAGGAGCACAGTGCTCACCTGGTTCCAACCCCCTGCTGTGTGCAGGTCACCAACCAGCAGCCCAGGCTGCCCAGAGCCACATCCAGCCTGGCCTTGAATGCCTGCAGGGATGGAGCATCCACAGCCTCCTTGGGCAACCTGTTCCAGTGCCTCACCACCCTCTGGGGGAAAATGTGCTGTGACCATGGCAGAGCCTTTAAGTCCCCTTCTGTATTCATACGTGCACATACTGATAGGGTAACGTGTTGTTGCCATGCTCCTTAAAATGCTTCCCAAATTTAGGCTGCTTCTGGCGGAAATAAAAATCCATGTATTGTTTTAATGGATCTGTGTGTGGAGGATGTGTGCGCCCGTGATTGGCTCTGGAAGGTTCCATTATCGACATTTGTTGGAGCTGAAGTTGAAGGGCTGCTGTGGAGGAAAAGCAGAGAAACTGGAGGAGATGCCTCCTTTGTTGGCTTCGCCACTAGATGTCAGTGCACGAAACTGCAACCCGAGCAGGATGGACAAATTGGGAATCAGTGGAGGAGGAGGAATGATATTCTCTACTCATCCTTATGCCTCCTGGGGGTTAAATTCCTTTAATAAGGTCCTGGAGACACGTTTAGTGTCTTCACTGTCAGAATGTTCCAGGCAGGAAATGAGGAATTTCCTGGTGTTGCTTCTAAAGGAAGTTTAGAAGGTGCTTGATGATTTGAAGTTTTATGTTAAATGACACAAAAATGTGTGTTTTGCTTTTTAAATCCTGGCTTTTTGAATATATACACCTTCTCAATTGCTGTGAAGGGCAGCAGGATTAGATAACAGCAAACCTAGCTGAATCTGTTGGTGTCTTTTTATGCCTTGATCCTCACTAATGTTCTTTGAAATCCAAGTGTCCTAGGTAAAGAGAGGGATCTTTTGCTGAATGTTAGCAAATGCAGCCAATGAGAAGGGAATTTCCACCAAAAAAAACCCAAAATCTTTGTGAACAGGTATGGACACCAATAGGTTGAAATTAGATTGTCCAGTTTCTTGCCTTGGTTCGTGCTTGCTCTGGCACGGAGTCTGTGTGAGGGATCTCAGTGTAGCCAGCTTAGGTCAGTGGTGGTACAAGGTAGGCTGCTTATGTAGGAATTGTTCTGAAGCAGAATGAATGCTTTGGGTTTTTCACTTGCTTTGCAGATCTTGAAGCATTCACTTTAATTGCTCTTTTTGTTACGCTGCATTCCTACAGGGTTACTTTACCTGCTTCAGCATGTTTTAAAGCAAGTGGGACAAACGCTGGGTGATGGGAATCTGCTGTAGAACGATCTGAAGTGCTGCGTTTCAACGATTCTTGCTTGCTTTTAGGTGTTGTCTCAGACCAGCTGTGGGGGCTGCAGGTACACAGAGAGGCACCATGGCTGCATGCTGCAGCTCCCTGCAGCGTTGCCACACAGACGTGAGGATCCAAGGCTGCCACTTCACTCTGTGTTCACATCTTCGGCGGGTGAGTGGAGTTGACTTTGATCTGGTTTGGGTTCCAACCTTGTACCCTTCAGTGTCTGTTCTGTAAGTGTGGTAAGTCAGGGCAATGGAGCAGCATGACAGAGCCTCGAGATATAAAGCTTGAAGAATCTCTGCTCCCAGCTTGATGTGTCTTAAAGGCCTGTACTGAAGTGGGTCGCTCTTACTATAAAATAACTGGAGCCTGGCTGCTGCTTGCTGGGTATATTTTTGGATAGGTCCCTGAGCAACCTGATCTACTTTGGCTCTTCTTTAGAGCAGGGGTTGGAGCCTAAATTATGTTTACTGTGACTGGTGGGAAGCTTAAATTTGGTTATTGCCTGGATTAAACATAGTATAGACAGTGACATGCAAGCAAGTTAATTGCTGGTATGTGTATGCAAATGGCAGAAGGTGCAAAACACAGAATGTATAGAAAACAGGCTGTGGAACCTGGGCTGACGACCAGCATAGCTCTAGGTATTATCTGAGCCTTGGCTTCTGTTCAGCACTGAGGAGACCAGCTCTCTCCTCTGGGCCTTAGCACACATCAGAAATAAACCCAACAGCAACAAATGGATTAACGCAGACAGTAACAGTGATGAAATCACTTCAGACTGGGTTGATTTTTAGGTTGGCATCGTGGTATCTTTATTTTCTCACTTCCACGTGAATGCCAGCTGTTGCACATCTGAAACACTCCAGTTTTGAGGGTTTGTTTGCAGACAGTTCAGCAGCTGATAAACGACCTGTTTCCTTTTTTCCATGCCCTGTTCTCTGATAAAACAGAACAGGAGCCTGGCAAGCTGTATGTCTGCGGAGGGAGTGGGTGGCATCATCATCATCATTATTATTATTATTATTATTATTTGTAAGCCTGAAGCTTGTTTAGATTCGAATGGATGCTGTCTTGTGGGTATAAATAGTCAGGAAAACCCTTGTAGGAGAATTGCAACCACGTGCTGTGCATTGAGCTGAAGGCCTTACAGAGCAGGACTTGCTGTAGTTGTATAGGAGTGCTTTAGTCAACCTGAACAGAAGCCATCTACTCACTCCTTCCCCGGGGCTCTGGCATGCAGGCATCTGAGTAGAGCCTGTGTTTTATGGCAACAGAAGGAAAGTCAACCCAGTTTGGCCTGTATCTGTTTTGTTGTTTTGGTTTGGTTTTTTTTTAATTGTAACGGAAAAAGGATCCAGGCTGAGTCTGAAAGCAGAAGTTTTACACTTAGTTACAGCTGAATATAGCCACACTTCCTGCTTTCCTCCCTCCCCTCCTCCCTGCCTCCCTTGGGTCTCATAGCATAATCTACTTATTAAATAGTTGCAATAAAAGTACATTTTGCCCTAGCAGGACTAAAGCCTATTGGTAGGGAAGATATTTTTATGCCATCCTTGTCCTGTTCCTGCCAAAATGAGGGTGTTTTTTGGACTCTTGTCTGCTTTTGGATTTGTGATCTGTTCCTTTAATACATTCCTTCCAGTCTAGGCAGTGTTCCCCAACTGCCTGGCACTGATGTTAATGCCTTGCTTCCTAATCAATCAAGTCCACTCCATGCTTCCTTAAAGGAAAACTCTGCTCATGTTGTTCAGCCCAGTGACACAAACTTCCACAGGTGTAAGAAACGTTTGTCACTGGCAAATGGCACCAATGTGGGATGTGAAGGCCAAACTTTAATCCTGTTTGGCACCTCTGAGCCTCTGGGCAGTTCTTTCCTTAGAACTGACTTGGGTACTGTGGGCAACCAGCAGAGATTTAGTAGCTCAGTTTCCAGCTGTCCTAAATAACTTGATCATAGCAAGAACTTCGAGGCTATTAACGAGGGGTCATGTGTGTGTATGGTGGGGGCAGAATTTGTTTTCACTTTCTCCAGCAATGAATGCAAACTGCCTGTAAAATGGATGGGGAATGTAACTGGAGGAAGTGTGTCTCAAGATGGAATCAGTCACTTCTATCTGTTCTTATGTTAAGGTTCACTGTCCTTTGTGTTTCTAGATCTGTATGTAGAAAACAACACAGAGTCAAACAAGTAAAGATTGGGGTGAGCAGCATTACTGCTTTTGGGGGCTTGTGTCCTATTTGAAGTGCAGTGCAGCAAAATGGCTGTTCCTAGGTAAGGCTTATGTGCCAGCTGGAACTGCTGATTTCCTTTAAAACTCCTGGTTTTGTAATTATTCATGGCAAAAAGAACTGTTTCTTCCCATATGAACTCCTGGCTTACTGAGCTGTGAGGTGAGCCAAGTAGGTTATTTTCTTCAATGTCTGCATTTTTTCCTAATTACTTTGTGCCAGTTGTTACCACGCAGTTTTCTTTACCTGCGCTTCAAAATTCACAGGCTTCATGTTCTCAAAAGGCTCAGCAGTGTTTCTTCTGGAGCTCGTCTTGGGACTGCCTGGTATCCGAGAGAATAACACTCTTGTGCCAAACACAGCCTTTGACATAAACATTTTTTTTCTGTATCACGTTTCTAACATTTTCTGATGTGATTCAGTTTCAGGAAGCGGAGAGGTGGTGCTGTGTGACTGAGCAGCTGTGCTTTGCCAGGCAGTGGCAGATGGGTGAGCTAGAGCTCTCCTTGCTGACTCTTCTCTTTGCCAGCTGAAAAACCAGGGGCTTGCCTATCCTGAGAACATAAAGCTTCTCCTGCTGTTCTTCAACACGTTCCCCTAAGCAAGCTGTCGTTCCTTCATAGTTAACATTTTACATCTACTGCAGTCTTGTATTATTTTAGGAAATTGTATTTATAATTTCTGAACACAAGTGGCTGGGAAAGGCAGGAGAAACGAGGTCATCTCTTCAGGTAACTGGGAGTTGTCATTGTAGATTGCAAGTCCTGGCATCCTTCAGGTAACGCCAGCTCCTGCATAGGTGCGTGGCCTGGCACAAGAGTGGGGATTGCTCTGAACACCTTCATACTAATGATGATAAAGAAGCAAAACAGAAATCCTGCGTCCAAGTTCCTTCAAGCATGTGATGAAAGGATCCCATGCAAGACAGTAAATTTATTTCCTTCTGTGTTTGTTTTCCAGTAGGATGAACTTCAGGGTCACAGCAGTGGGATGATCAGGAGGCTGTTGTAGTGGGTAGAAGGAAGGCAAGCAGCAGTGGATGTGCTGAAGGTGCTTGTTGTGCTTTGTTATGGCTCTTCCTGCAGCAGGCACTGCTGCTTGCACTATTTGTTTTTAAATGAGAGCTGCTCTCCTGGCTCTGAGTGCCTCCCTGGTTTGTATCCATCTGTCTGTTCTCCTCGGTCCTTGCATTCATTTACGTGCTCTGTTCTGATGCTGGCAGTGCTGGATGTCAGTGAATACTTGGAGGTGCAATCTTCCTTTCTGTTTTATTGATGATTCATGCTGTTAGGAGATGCTTCCTGCCTTTCCATGACTTAGAGAAAGCAATCCATTTCATAACATCTCCTTACTCTTAGCAGAGCTTATACTTTGTTCCCAAAACTCCCACTGTTTTCACTGCAAGCATGACCAGACTGTGAAATAGCTTGGCTGGTCTGGTGAATAATCTGTTAGAGTCTTTTAATAAACGGCAGTTGTATTTATCTTACTCCATAGGGCTTTTCATCTCAAAACATTTGAGTGCAGAAACTGTCCAGTAGTGAAATGCAGCCGTCTCTCTTGGAAACAGAGTGGGAGGCAGACAGGCGTTTTACTACACGGTTTAGAGTGAGAGGAATTTTGTTTAAGGACAATGAGGGAAACTGAGCTTGTGTGCTCAATGACCCTTTGATCTTCCACGTTCATGCTGAGCTGATCAGGACTTTAAATCTAAGCTCTGTCTGCTCCTACCCATAGCGAACGGCCAGAAATGTCCCTCATTTAGGGCCCGAGCCTGCGCTAGAATGGCAGCACTGCAGTGACATCTGTTCAGCCTTGCATGTCTCCTGTCTGCTTGTTATTTCTGTGTAGCTGTTCTGGGCTGGGTACTGGTTGCACTTGCAGGAGTAAATGGGGGAGGGTAAAGCCAGAGCTGTTAAACAAAGTTATTTTGCTGCATGTTTGTAAGCTGAGGAGCTGGGCAGCGCTGCAGCACTGAAGGCCGCTTTCTGGAGCGTGCTGCTTAGGTCAGTCCATAGCTGTAAGAGAGCCCTAAAGCTGTGCGGTGTTTGCTCGGTGTGATGAAATGACTGTCTGCCCAGGGCTCTGAAAGCTGAGGAAGGTTAACCAGTGGTGAGGTTGGTCAACTCTGTGCGAGGAGAGAAGGCTGTAGAAACCGCTGTGGCAGATGCAATAGGAGTGGACAGACACAGTATGATAACGTGGATCCTTGACCTGCAGTCTTTGAGCAGTTGTAAAAGCTTGTTACTTCTGCTACCATGCAGCACATCATTAGGAAACTTAATTACTGGGAGGTGACTACATTGCGTAGGCTAGAGCGTAGCCTGCAGGAATGTAGGAGCTTTAATTTTACAGTGCTTGTTTGTGGTGTATCTCTCCCCAGCAATGGCACAGCAAGGGCTGATCTTGTTGCACATGAAACAAACTCAGCTGGCTGATAGTGTGCAGCTCGTCTGAGCTAGCATGGCTGCAGCCCCTTGATAGGTAACAGCTGGTGATGTCTTGCTTCTTCCTATGTGATAAAGCAAAATGTGGAGTTTTAAGGCTTGGAGGAAACATTTGATGAAAGCAAAACTTGGACTTGAGACAACGTGGTGCTTCGTTTAGCTGTGCTGAACCACTTTCATTGGAGTAGTCCTTGCAGTATTTATAGCATGAGATATGGTAAGAACAGCCAGAGGCACAGCTGTGTGACCTTTATGCTAAAACAAAACAACACAGAGGAGTGAATATTTTTACTTTGTTCCAGCTGTAAGTATTGGGTTCAAATTGCAGTGCCTTAAAAGTGTGGCGAAGAAACTGAAAGGTGAATTTGAATTCATAGGCTGGAAGGACTGACAGAATCCTGGAAGAAGGCCGAGTGAGCTGCCAGCAGTAAAAAAAAGTCACAATTCTCTGTTTGGCCTTTAAGAACACTTGATGTCCCCCTGAACGTC